GGAACATTCACAACTTCTGGAGGCAAGTTGTTTCACTGATTAATTGTTCTAACTTCTCTCCTTAATTAAAGGTAAAGAATGTATGAGTCCTGAAATTTCAAAAAAAATACATATAAACTAATCGAAGATTAAAGAAAAATGACAGAATATTTTGTCCTGCACATACAGCTTCTCATGACCAGGATTTATATCAAAATCAGCAAAAAACTTTCCATCAGAAATCTTTTAGTCATGCAGATTGTCTTTCAAACAGTCCTTTTCTTCATGTACATCTGATCATAAGTGTCAAGCAGCATCAACCAAAAGTAAAAACCAAAATCTATTTCAGAATTTTTTTTCTTGTTGGCTCTCTAGTCAGGCAGCCTCATACCATGTGGCATACAGAAAGCATCTCAGGCTTCCTAAATTATCAGTTGTGATAATTAAGGCCCATTCTAGCTGAGATGTGTACCAACGCTATAGAGTGGAATCATGAACCAGGGAAATAAGTCTCCATGACAACTGGAGTAAATGTGTTACTGAAATGGACTCCTATTCCATATTTGGGAGAAGGATGGCATTGGCAACTTTTGTCTTTCTGCCTTTGATATAAGGTTGGGTGTTCTTTGTATAAGGTTTTGATTACACATTCATCTTTAAGAGAAATAGATTTACGTATATGTCAATTAATGTTCACAAATTAATTTGTGATTTTCAGGAAGATCTTATCGCACTTGATATACTGGTTGATTATTTATAAAACTTTTAGGGTCTCTATTCAGGATGGCATAGAGGATGAAACATATAAACAGAAATTAGAAAAATTAATAAACCCCTATGATAATAAAAATCCTACCCAAAATATTAAGTGGATTTTCTTGTTAATGATTTATAGCAGAATAACAGAATAAGTGGTTGGAAGGAAATTTAGCGGTCTTCTAATCCAATGTCCTGCTCAGGCAGGAAACTCAAAAACCCACAACTTCTGGAGGCAAGTCATTCCACTGAGTATTGTTCTAACTGTCAGGAAATCTCTCTTTAGATCTAGGATGGTTCTCTCCTTGATTAGTTTCCATCCATAGTTTCTTGTCCTGCCCTCGGGTGCTTTGGGAAATAGGGCAGCCTCCTCTTTTTTATGACAGTGTCTTAGATATTCGAACATGGCTATCAGGACACCCCTAATCTTCTTTTCAATAAACTAAATATACGCAATTCCTGCAACCATTCTTCATATGTTTTAACCTCTAATTCCCTAATCATCTTTGTTGCTCTTCTCTGCATTCTTGCTATAACCTCAACATCTTTTTTATATTCTGGCAACCAGCATCTTACACCATCATCCAGCTATCACTGTAGCTATAAATCATTAATGAGACAGGGTGTAACTCATCCTAGCAATGGCTGGGTGATGCTGTAATATGCTATAAATCAACAGCCACAGAACCTTTACAAATCAGACACCATTGCAGTTCCATAACAGCACAACAAGGAGGATCATAACAGAACAAATTCATGCTCAGAATTTTCTTGAGGATTAGAGGTAGTCCTTGATTTATGACTAACTGATCTTGGAATTATGATGATAAGTCATCACAGATGTAAATTGAGGCACCAAAGTAATGTTCTAGACTTTTTCACAGCAAACACCATGGATATTAAAAGAACCCATTAATTCAATAGGAATATTTTGCCAAAAACCAGCAAAACATTTCTGGAAATAACAAAATATATTGTAAATTGCAATCATGTGATGCTAGAATATTATGATTAGTTGTAAAGCTGTCCCATCCCCACATGCAGTCCTCTAATTATGAAGGGGCAGCACAACCATTTACAATGACCATTCCATGGTCATTTTAACTTTAAATGGTTGTAAAACAACTGGCCTTATTGGCCAGATCTTATTGTGGTAAGGATATGATGCTACTGGACTACTCAAGATAGTGTGAATAATGTATTGTACAGAGAGAAAACTAACCCAACATTAAAATATGAAAATTGTTTCAAAATCTAGATATCAATTTGATATCAATACATGTTAGAAGAAACCATGCTTGACTTAATCAGATACCTAACCGAATGGGAAGCTCTGCAAGATATCTGAAAGGAATTATATGTTTTTAAAAATTGACTAAATCTAGTCCAGTCTAGCTACAGAATCTTCCTCATTAATCATCTTGTATATCTGTACTTACTGAGTTCCATATTCCGGTCATTGTTCTATAAATAGATTGGAAATTATGTTCTCCTGTGTTGAAGAAGATAAAATGATACACTGCGTTTGCAATGATGATCAGTTGCTTTACCAGCCAAGGGCAAATAAGATTTAAAAAGAATACCATATAAGAAGAGAATGGAATCATTCATCTTCAGAAACTAATGAAGATAGATATGGAATAAAGCGTAGCTCCATACTGTTAGCAATTTTATTAAATTATGGAGGAATATAATGAGTTCTAACCAATTAAATTTCCATGTGCATAATTAATATCTTCCCTCAGCTCTTCGAAAGATAGGGCACAAGGAAGCTTTGATACAGAAGTTTTACATGAATCTTTTTCTTTTTTAAATGAATTAAACTCTATGGCCTTGTCCTTTATCCCCACATTATTATTACAGGTACAAAATACACTGCACATGTTCTCAGTTAACTACAAGGTTATCTCTTTGTTGTATGACAAAGTAGTTAAACAGATATTGAATGGAATGCACATGAACAAATGTGTCTAGTGTTACCATTTTTACTTATGCTCAGATGAACATGGATTCTAGATTACTTTTATATGAGCAGTCATGCATTCCTCAATTTTTTTCTACAAAAAGAATTGACTCAGTGATTCTTCTTGTGTCATACAAACACTTCTCAGAATTTTCTTCTACTCTCCTTTCTAAGACTAAGACAACATGATCTTTGTAAGTGACTGTGACAGATAAAGCATGGAAAAAGTTTACACACTATTGTTCTCATAGGCAAATTAAGCACTAACTTAATGCCTGCAACTTTTCTGACTGCTCACTGGTTTGTCCTATATCTTAGTAGCTGACATGTTAACAGCATCTTATCATAACAGGGATGGGAGGTTGGCAGGGGAATAGTAATCAAGAAACCTCATTTATTTTCTTAATCCCTTTCAGGTTGAAAATTGTTTTTGAAACTATTTTAGATGAGAATTTCACAGAAACTGTAGTAAAAAGCCTAAAATAAGCTTAATACAATTGTTAATCTATATTCATTTGCCAAAATAGAAAAGGCAGGCAGGCAGGCAAAAGGAAGGGAGGGAGGGAGTTTTAGTAACGCATACACTAAATGAAAGTACTGCTTTACCATGCAAAAAGTGGTTATACATATTCAATGATAGTTGCAGAAGACAGCACTGCAAATGTAAATGCTAATGATGGGACTAATATTATTTACTAAAGAGCTAATATTAACAGGAACATGTCCATTTATTATAGTTAATTTGTCTATGTTATTAACTTTAGCTAGTTTTGTTTTATAATGAAGTGGGCCCAGGTATAGTTCAATTGTTGTTCTTAATACATTGAGAAGTATTAACTTAAAAATTGAGAAGAATAGAAATATTTCACCCAAATATATTGGATGAGATCCAATCTAAGTTAACTGCACTTTGTTCTGACTGGTATTAATGTCATGAAAAATAACTACCTTTTCCTATTCAAATCGTTTAACTAAATCTATTTTACCCCTAGTCAATCATAGAATACCAGTAAGTAGAATTATGTACAGTATGTAGAAAATATCTGAAAACTGGTTAGTAAAGTTAAACCTTCATTGAAATGTCCCTTTAGTGTCGCTCTGCATAGTGAAGCAGTGCTGTTTCCAGGCATCACAGCAAAGGTATTGAACTGCATAAAACCCATTATTTTTGCTGGTATAGAAAATCCGTTCAATATCTCTATTGCTTTTTCATGTCCCAACATATAAGGGTAGGTAGGAATGACCTTGCCTCCTGCTGTCACTTTTAACAGCCTGATCAATTAGGGCAGGACCTAAATTTATTTCTCTGACCATTAAGCCACTGGGGGCTCCTCCCACTCTAGTCTGATCATTCTCCAGGCAGCATATCTTCCCACCATCCTTCAAAATTATTCCCACATAAAATTATACCTTGGGACATCACGCAAAGAGNACTCAAAAATATACTAAGCATTTGCTGCTCCATCAATAGCAATAGTGAGGAGTCAAGCTTCAGAGGCAGAGCATTCCCTGCATGTGGCAGAACTCTATGGTCTTTTTATCTCAGTCACTGACCAGATATATAATTGAGACAGGATTTTTCTTATAGACTTCAGAGTTTAAATTCAGATCTAATCAACAATGAATAGAAATAATAAATACTAGCAATTATTAACTTTTGTTAATAAAGTATCCATTTTCTTATTTTCATAGTAAAAATACTGATGCTTAGCTTCGTTGCATGTCAGTAGAAAGAAAAGTATGTAACTCAATAATGATGGCTTCATTTTTTTAAAATATTTGCTGTAATATATAGGAATAAAAAGAATGCAATAAAATAAAAATAAGTGTAAATGGGGTGAAAGGAAAGCATAAAAATGAAATACCTAGCCACAAAAAAATAGTTCAGTTTTTAAACACAGCATTAAATATTGATCATATGGAATAATTGATCAAGCCTTTCAATATATTATACAGATCCACTTCATTAACATATATAACTCTTTATTTTACATTGTCTCCATTATAAAACAGCATTGATGTTTGTTTGGGGTTGCTGTTTTTTGCTGTACTTTATTTCAGTAAATTCAATCTTATGTGGTACGTCACTCAAAACATATTCACAGATTTTAACCAAGTTACTCTTCCCAAAATAATTTTTGCAGAATTATATGATAAAGAAAAATGCAATAATAGGAGAACAAGCCCATGTTAATCTCCACTATTTTGTACTTCCAGAATAATAAAGTTTTAAACATTCAGATTCAGATATCACCCATTAATATTGAAGTGTAACCTGTCTCCTCTTTCCTTCCTTTTGCAGAAAGCCCGGTTAGCCAGGATTCGTGTAGCCAAAACGGGAACTTCCCACGCCTACCTTCACAGTAAGCGCAATGGCCTTCTCAATGAAGCACTGGAATTGACGGTATGTGGACTAGACAATGAGAATCATAATAGCAAGGTTTAACTCCATATTATCTTGTGAATTTTGTAGGTAGGCTTGAATTCTGCTTCAATCAGTTCTATGGTAGATGCTAAATATACATGCCTCTATATTTTAATAATGTTAAATGAAGTTCATTGCTACATTATGAAAATTAATATTAGCAGAATAAAATCAGACTCAATTGACAAGTAAGCACATCATCCAAGTTAACAAAACCATTATTTTCCAATTGAACATTTGGATGGTCATCCATCATCACTATGTTTTGTTTTTCTGTTAGTTAATTATAGACACAATCCATTGTTAGATCCATTTCTGTATACCAAAATGATTAAATTCCTTACACTATAAGGTTATCAGATCAGTAATTGTGCTACTTGGAATCTCTGAAAATAGTGACCATCTTAATTTTCTTTTATAAACACAAAATAGAGGATTCAGACATATATTTAGTCTTGGCCACTGGCATATTGCATCAGAATCCTAACATTCAATTGGCCTAAGCTAAATATAATAAAGTAGGATGGAAGTTAAGGGAAGCAAATTTCATCAGCAGCTTTTCCAATCTCTGTATCTGTCTCTGAGAGGGAAAAAAGATTTAAATTTTGTTAGAAGCCCAGGAGAAGGCCTGCCATATTTAAGATATCAATTTCGCTAGAATTAATAACTAACTAGATTGGGAATAAGGATGAATAAATTATATCTCTTTAATTTCAGAGATTTTCAGGGGCTTTTCCTGAGGGCTTTTTAGAAACAAAGTATCATGATATTATTGTCAGAATACTACAACTCTGAATTCTGAATTATGGATTTTTCTCCCAAACTGGAATTATTTCCTTTTCTTTCTTAATAAAACACAACTACAGACTCAGTTTGCAAAGAACAAATTACCTTTAATAAATTGCAACAAATTCAATTTACTAACTTTTAATATAATATCAAATGATAATGATTAACAGCAATAAATTGATCAGTCTAACTGACTATCTTTCCATCTTTCTTTGGAAGGATTTCAGCTTTTTAGCAATAGCATTTAAACTTATATACCATTTCATAGTGATTTATAGTATTCTATAAGTGGTTTACAAATCCAGCATATTGGCCCCAAACAATCTGGGTCCTTATTTTACCAACCTTGAAAGGATAGAAGATTGAGTCAACCTTGAGCCAGTCAGGATTGAACTTCAGGCTGTGGGCAAAGTTAGCTGGCAATATTGCATTCTAACCATTGCACTACCAAGGTTTGGTACACCACCATGGCTGCTTTTAACCACTTTAATGTGTTAAAAATCATTAATTTATTTTTATACCTTTTGATTATGAAATATTAGAATGGAAGAAAGGTGTTGATTAAATATTACCATTTTGGGAGAGAAGCTGGTATTGGTTTATTTGGCAAGCTATTCCTTTTTCTTTTCTGCCCGAGGATTCTGGAGATTACAGGACAAAACAATTGGAGAGTAGAGAGAAAGGATGCTATTAAGCATGGCTGTTCAAAGCTCCAAAGGAGTATTTTGATTTAAAAACTCTTTATTGAATCAACTCATCAAAGTTGATTCACAAATTGAAGCAGGAACATGCTTCAAAGCAAAACAACCAAATCAAATCAGGTGGTTTGAGAACATATCATAACTTTGAATTTATTTTATAGATTTTGTGGTTTTTCTTCTGCTTCAGACTTTGCAACAGTCAATACACATCAGGGTTATTCATAACTGCTAGAGGCCTAGAATGTTCTAATAATCTCTAAATCATTCATTTTCTCCTAACCTTGCAGGTGTCCCAGCATCCTATTTGCACTTTCCCAATATACAAAGTTGTAGCTTCACTTTTATGAAGGATACTGGGTTGTGGGTGTAGAGCAGTGTTTCTGACATGTTGTAAATAGCTAGCAAATAATTCTATTACCTCATCTCCTAGGCTGCCTAACACTATTAAGGTGCAACACTAACATTATTTGAATTTCATTCATTCTCTTAGCCTGCAACTTTTTTATGCTACAACCTTAAAATGTATTCTTACTTGCACAGATGGAATGATACATTTCTGTGCTGGTTTTATCAGTGCACCTGGGAATTTAGTTAAATTCTCTTAACAGTTTAAAACTGAGTTCAAAGATGTTCAATCTGGTATACATGTTTGGGTCAGTTCCTACTTTTAAACTATGTGAAATTAGAGCAGGTTTAAGTCTCTTGACAATGAGACATTGGATATCAAGTTAACACTTAAAGGTGCTGGCATGAATTTTATTTCATTTTAAGACTGGGATTGGCAAGATTTTGAAGGCTACTTGTATCTCACTACTGTATAACTGAAAGGATGGTCCTTCCAAGGAGGGGCCAAAACTGATAAGCCCATCTTTCCAAGGGTCATCTCAGTTCCTAATGTCCAATTAAAATCTACTTGTTTTGCTATTTAAACCTCTGGTTCCTTATTTTGTTTTCTGGAACAACTCACTTTAGCTATATCTTCTGCATGATAGTATAGCATAAATACACACACACACACACACACACACACACACACACNTGGCTTGGTGAGCATGGCAGGGAAAGGATACTGTAAAATCTCCATTCCCTCCCCACTCCATGGGAAGGATATTGTAAAATCCCCATTCCCTCCCCACTCCATGGGAAGGATATTGTAAAATCCCCATTTCCTCCCGATCAGCTGGGACCCAGGAGGCAGAGAATAGATGGGCCAGTTAGAGGTGGTATTTACCAGTTCTCTGAACTACTCAAAATTTCCACTGCCATTTCTCCAGAACTGGTCAGAATCTGCTGAATACCACCTCTGAAGGGGGCATATTTTACTTCCCATTTATCTTCTCCCGTTTTCACATGAAATCTTAAACTTGGTAGCAAGTTTCGGTAACACTAAAAGAACTGGAAAACTACATTTAATTCTGGTGCCTCAGGTGAGGTATCTCTATCTTAGTTATATATAGCCTTTATTGTCATTGTACAAAATAAATACAATGAAATTGGTTAGTACCTATAGATACAGCTAAAATATGCAATTTAGATCTGTGATGTTAATCACAATACCCATTTTCGGGTCATGGTGAATAGTTACTCTTTTGAATGACAGATTTGCAGCAGATAAACAATGTTAATTGATTGGTGGCATGTGGACTGCAGAAAACCAATTCTTCCTAAATATTTCATGGCACTAATTCTTAATGACTAGCATTATAGAGAGCACCATCTCTATTTCTGGACGTAGGTTTTCTTGACACAGATGTTTTTCCTCCTGCTATCCCTGTAATGAGTACTTCCCTTGTGTATGAGTGCACATATGATGTCAGTATGGAAATGATAAGGAGGGTTGCTAGGAAACTACAGCTTGTTGACATGAACCTTACCACATTTGGAAAGTAATTCATACAGAATTCTAAAATGACAGGTTTTACAGACATTTGAACAGTCAAGTATGACTTGCTTAGTCTCTGCTGAAAATTTGAAATACATCATTTTTACTGTTGGCAGCAGTTTCTATTATCATACTGTTCTATATTCTATAACACCCAATATGGCACATTGGTTAGAATACAATACTGCAGGCTAACTCTACTCAAAGCCAAGAGTTCGATCCTGACTAGCTCACTTGCATCCTTCAGGTCAGTAAAATGAGGANATGTCTGCTATTGACTTAAGCCATGAAGTTACGATAGAGAAATAGATGAATGAATGAAAGAGCACAGTATTTTTAAACGGTACAGGAACCAGTCCACCAGAAAAACAAAAACAATTGCCATATTGCTGCTCTAGGCATGTTTGACAAGCCAGAGTCTGAATTGGAGAAACAGGATTTGAATACTTTTAATCTTATATGAGCCAGTGAGCGCTTAGAAAAAATAGGACATATTGGCATATTCAGTTTGAAAAATATCTCAACCACCTGCTCTCTAGCCCTCAAGCAGCCTGAGTTTCCTGGTTTAGAAACTGAGCAGCTAAACATCTTTAGCTCTTGCAAATGCAAAGGTTCCAGCAAACAGGGCAAAGATCTGCAATGAGGTTCCTTGAAAGACAGATGGATTGGTACATTTAGTTCTAATTCCTGGGTCTTGGATGTGTCTGCACTGAACTTTCAATTCTGAAATTGAATATATTTTTTTCCTGGAACCCTTGCATTCCTGCAATGTGATTTTTTTTTTTTTTGGTCTAAGGCTGGCCTCTTGACCTATAAGTTCTGGCACAGAACAATTGCAAATGAAGCGCATGGCATTGATTACTAACATGCATGGTAGAAAAAAGGGGAACACTTGTCTTTCCAATGTAATATGTGATGAACAGACACTGAAAAATGTCAGTGCAAAATATTTTGTAGAGCCCTGAAATGCCTACTAGGTTTTAGACGAATTGTTTTCTACAGAGTAATCTAAGAATAATACTTTGTAGCAGGAGATAACCTCTTCTACTTGTCTAAAACAGGTGAATGTACATAGATAATGCCCACATAAAACTGGGTATATTACAAATAAATTTCAAGCAACTAGTAAGCAAGGAATACAATGCAGTACAGAACAGAGCAGATGTGACTACTGCAGATATTTGGAATATTAATTACCAGAAGAAAGAAAAAAACACTGAAGCAGCTGTTAAATATGCAGAGTATTGGGTTTTGCCAAGAGCATGAAATCAAATTCTATAGATTAGTGCATGGTAATAAAAATGGCCTGCCTGGGAATTAGCATCAAACACATATGATAAAATTGATTCTCCTTTTGTAACAGCTATGAAGAAGGTGTCTAATGCTTCAGCCAATGCAAAATAGAATCACTGAGTTCCGTTTTGAAGCCAAGAATGGTATTAGAACATTTTGGTAAATGCAAATGATACAAATTGAATCTTATCAGCATAGAACTTACATGTTCATTTTTTTAATTAGTATTGATATGACCAGTGTTCTACTGATCTGTTCCCTACCAGTTATGAATAGAATGCAGGATTCCTTTACAAAATTTCTTTTCAAAATTC